AAAATAATAAAATAAAGATTCTATATTTATTATTGTAATAATATTTAACTTACATCTTCGATCCAACTTTCTTGTACTGTATATCCTAACTGAGACCAAGTTACTGATTCTTTAATTTGGTTTTCTTCAATATGTGCTTTAATTTTTGCAAAATAATCTTTTAGTAACCAAGTACAAAATGTTGATAGTTTTAACTTTGAGGATTGTGTTTTGTTTCTTTTAGGTGGTTGTATAGCTGGAATTTCTGTATCAGCGTTTCTTTTTTTTTTTCTTCAAGTAATTCATTAAGTAATTTTTTTTGTGCATTATAACATATTTTTAAATTTTCTATTTGTTGACTTGTTGATAATGTATCTAAAGTTTTATTACTTGGTAGTTCACAATTTGTAATTTTTTTGAGATAGGTACTGTAGAAAATAGAAGAAGTCATTGTTATAAAAATTCAAAACAAAACAAAGTAAACAATAATGCATAAAATTATTTATATAGATCACGAAAAATCATATTAGCTAGTTTATTTAACTTTAATTAGTTAGTTTAAAATTTTCTTGAAATTATACATATCAATTTTTAATTTGATATTAAAACAAAACAATAAAAATATTTAGAATAGTAATGATTAACCAAAAAACAATTTGTAAATGTAAAACCTGTTTGATGACTAATTTACAAGGTCAAATGCTCAGTAAACGAGTTGTACAACAATATAAAAAAGCTAAAAAATGTTTATACAATAAAAATGGTGTTATTATTGGAAAAACATTTTTTAAATCAAGGAGAATATATAAATCAGCAACAAATTATAAAAAAGTAAAACCAAGCAAAAACATAGAACAAAATAAAAAATTAGAGTCTAATCCATATCAAGAACAAGAGAAGCATGAAAATTAGAGTCTAATCCATATCAAGAACAAGAGAAGCATGAAAATTTAAACTTGGATATATATGAAGAATTATATAATTATAGTAATGAAGAATTATATAATTATAGTGATGAAGAATTATATAATTATAGTGATGAAGAATTAAAAATTAAACAGTCAAATCATATAAATAAATTAGTTCAAGATATTGAAGATATTTTAATTTAAATTTAAAGTATTATAAATTATTATATATATATTTATTAATTTATTGATTGATTTAATTTATTTAAACTTACCAGATTTATCTAAAGCATTACGCTTATTATATTTAATTGCAAAAAATACTCATATATCTGATAATAACTTTGAAGAAATTTTACAGATTTTTAACTATAATGGTCCAACTCTATACTCAACAAAAAAAAATCTTCAAGACTTAGTCGATATTATTTGTAGACATGTGTATTAATTCTTGTATAGCATTTACTGATAAATATATAAATGCAATACAATGTTCTATATGTTTATCAGCACGATTCCAGATGACGTGTCTGTGGAATGGGGTATCAATGTTTTCAAGGTCTTATTTATTTCCTCTAATATCACTTCTAGACCTTGATGCTGATTGTGGAGTCCCAACTGAGAAACTATATTATTTTTTTCTACAATATTCTATATAGTTGGATCAAGCCGCATCAGTTGTATTTCATCCTTAATATCTATTAGATGATATATTGGATGACATCGCGCTGACCACACTGGTGAAAAAACTTATTTTGTGGCCCTCTTTAACAATGAATTATTATTTCTAATAGCGGCTCTGTAATTAATAATAGTCTGAAAGTAAATAAATATCTATATAATAAAATTAGTAAATAAATATATAGAAATAAATATATTAAATATCTTTTTAACGGAGATGCAAATCACTAACTCTTCCCGACGATCACTTGCACCAAATTTCTCTTGAACATATTCGCAGTTTAATCAAAATTTTA